GAGCAAATGAGAAATGGAAAGGTGAGTGATAGATAAAAGAAAAACATCATTAAAGTACAAAACAAATCCTTAAGATTAGACTTAAATCATCTACATGCCTGAGATGTTAAGAGTTCTTTCTGGATGCCTTAAAACCATGACCACATGCACTTCATGCAAACATCAAACCTGGGGTTGTAATGAACACTCTCTCTGCTAAACACACACGTGACTGCTCCAGGTTTCATAAAATGATTTTAATAGAAAAGTACAAGATATAAACAAAAATAAATTATCTTTATCTCATTTCTAGCACAGCAAATTATACACTGTGTATAAAAATTACCTAAAAAAAAATGCCATTTTCCTTCATTCCCTTTAAAATACTGAGACAGCATTTTAATGAAATCTTCTAGATTCAAATTGATACATTTAAAAAAATCGACTTTTAATCATTCTATATCACTCTGTTAACTTGGCTGCCAAGATGTTATTTCACTCAAAATATTAAAGAATCATCAGATTTAGATGTAAAGTTTGTATGAACAGGTAAATCAGAAGATCCCTTGCCTCAATTTAATTCAGAATGTTTCCTGAATTCAGAATTCATTTCATCATCTTATTTTCAAAACATGGCCTCTAGCTTTTTACCTTTCTATGGCGAGGGAAATCTTGGGGGGAAAAAACGTTAAACATTATGTACTTTTAAAATATACTTTACAGTGATAATGCAGTATTTTAGGCATGTACCTTGGTGCATATTTGCATTAAATATATGCCACAAGTTGTGGTTACCTTTACTATCTATTTGGTTTCTCTCTATTTATACGAGTATTATGGACCACTCAACCTTTGGGGACTGTTTTTGCTAATCTCTTAAAAGTCAGCCAGTACCAGTCTCATTTGGCGTTCTTATCCCATTAAGAAAAAGGATGATGAAGTGAAACATTTAAATTGTGGTGCTGGAGAAGAATATTTGAAAGCACCATAGACTGCTAGAGGAAGAAACAAATCTGTCTGGGGAAGAAGTATGACCAGAAATGCTTCTTATAGCCGGGACAGTCAGACTTTGTCTATCATACTTTGGAGACACGTTATCAGGAGGGGCCAGTCCCAGGAGAACGGCATCATGTTTGGTAAAGCAGAGGGTCAGCGAAAAGGAGGAAGATCATCAACAAGATAGACCGACACAGTGGCTGTAACAATGCACTCAAATATAACAGTGATTGTGAGTGTTTCATTCGATTGTACACAGGACCACCGAATCAGAACCAACTCGATGGCACATAACAACAACATTCCTCTATAACTTTATATTTGATCATTCCAATGACTAGAATAATGTGTGACAAAAACAAATTGCAAATTGGCATTGGCAAAATTATGTAAGAAATGAATTTGAGTAGGTTACTAAAACATATATAGTGTCAATTTCCAGAGGTCAGAAATTCAAAGAACTGAACAGATAAACTACACTGAAACCTCACGGTTTCCTGTTTTTAGTCCATAATGTCTATTTTGTAGATGGCTCTGTTTGCCACTGCCTAAGTTTTGTTAATTTTCCTGTATTGGGAAGATCTTGAATACACTCCAGGATGAGAATTAAAAAAAAAAAAAAAAAAAAATCGCTGACACTCCCAAATCGAATATATGTTTTCGCAATAAAGAACACTGGTCAATATACAATTGAGGAAAAACTGAAACAGATGTGAGCCCCTAGAACCACAAGAGTCTGAATTTGCCCAGAAATGCTATTTTAAACACTCTATATGTTGGTCTGCTTTTTTCTCTCTCTTCTTTTTAATGTGTGTGTAGAATAATACATTCTTGGCATCCTTAAAAAGTTTCAATATGTTACAAGGTTATCCAATAAGAAAGAAAACGCTAACATATCAATCTGGGCAGCTTCGCCAGATTTCTCGGTGTACATTTTCATATTAATTGCACTTAACATAACGAACCTTTAGTTTCCAGTGAATTTTCATTCTCTGCAGACTGAAGCTTGTTTTTCATAAAACTGCTTTCACGGGGCATAGGGACACCACACGTGGTCCGTAGAAAATTCCAACAGAAGGTTACAATGGTTGCAGTGGTAAATACAAAGATACAATATTTTTGTACTAAAAAATCTGGTCATGGATAAAAGCATGTGCCATTTCGGTTCTTCTCTGGGCTGTTAGAACAGCAACACGCTCTAAAACAATTAAGTTACATGCATAATGCTAAAGGAATGTGAGCAATCCTGTAGCCAGCTTTAAACCATCTGCTTGATTTCTTTATGGGGGGAACGTATATAGGAAAAGAGAATTCTCCTTTTGTTCCGTTACATATAGAAATCTTTTGAAGCTTCCAAATAGTTTGGTTTTGGTAAAATTCTCCATTCTTCTATTGTTTTAACATGTAGTCACCCTAAACTATCCCTCATGGCTTTTCCACAAATCTCCACATGAATTATCTAAAGGACAATTGAAACCACTTACCAATATACAAGTAACGTTTTATTTTATATTCTATCTTCCATTTGGCATAAGCCTTTCAATGTGTGTTTTTAAACCAGTGAAATATACAAATCACGCAAGACAGAAATATGTACATTAAAAGTACAGAATAAAAGCCATAAAAGATATACATAATATCTGAATGACAAGTAGGATATTTTACATTAAATAGTACCTTTAAAAAGCTAGGATTGTTAAATTCAGCTCTCTTCATAAACATGAATCACTAAAAAGAAACAAAATCAGACTCCACAAATTAAAAAAAAAAAAAAATTACTTCATGGTTTTTGTATAATAAAAACCAAAAAAGTGACATTTTAAACTAATTAGTGCTTTTTAATTTCAAGATCTTTTGCTTGCAACTCACTGCAATTAAGGGTAAGTGAATATTCTTGTGCAATAAATTAGGAGCCTATGACGGCTGTGGGGGAGCTATGTGTCTTTCCAAACGTTAGAATAACCTAAGTCAGAGATAAGAACACATTTTATGGTAATTTTTGGAAACAGGTGTCCTTGTTTAAAAACCAAAACCCAAAACAACTAGCTGTATCTTTAGTGAACTGGATTTTTCGTAACCCCTTGCTAGCTAATTGATTCTGATTAACAGCGACCCCAAAGGACAGAGTTGAACTGTCCCATCCACGGATTCCCAGTTTGTAATCTTTATGGAAGCTGACAGCCACATCTTTCTCCCACAGGGTACCTAGTGACTTGGAACTGTGCACCTTTTCGAGAGCCGCTGAGTGCTTCACCACTGTGCCATTAGGGCTCCTTGGATTTTCCTTAGGGACTGTCAAACCCAATCAGCACCAGTTTCTAGTCTGCAGAATGTACTAAGAAAAAAAGAAATGACAATGATGTTTCTGAGTTTTGAATGCTTCTTAATATCCATGTCTCTGATGAACACATAATGCCCTCTCCAGAAAGTGTACAGAAATGAAGGTTGGAGAAAAGTGGGGTGGAGCAGGAAAAGATCGAACAAACTTTCAAACCAATGCACAATTCAGTGAGTCAGATCTCCAAGATTCCTCAAAAGCAAGACTGCTTCCTGGTGTTCCAGATATGTTCACACCAAAGTCACAACCTAAACTCGAGACAGACAACGTTTGGCAAAATTCCCAACTGGATTGCAAAAAAAGGATGATGATGTTCCAGACAGAGAAATAGCCCCAGAGTAATCTGTAACTCTAACTCACTGGTTGCACTGAGATATAATTATATTTATATTTATATATGTATATTTTATATATATATATATATATGTTATGTACAAAAGATTTTGAGATATCAGGCACCATTAAACCACATTTCTTCCCCGTATAAATGCAACTGTTCAAGTACACTAGGAACAGTTTTAGGGTACACCTGCAGTATAATAGGAAAGATCAAGTGGGTAATCTAAACACAGGATCGTAACAGTGAATGAAATGCTGTAACACCTCTGTGAACTCCATTTGCCCCGTGGTGTCAGTAAAATATAAAATGACTACTCCTCAAAATAAAAAGCTTTAGGGGGAGGAAAAAAAGAAAGAAATCCGTAAGAAGCAAACTGTTTTCTGAGTAGAGCTCCTAAGGTTTCATTTTCTCTCCTACAATCCAAGGGGACCCAGTGGAGCTGCCGTCTGGAAACGTGGCCAGCATCCCCGCACACAGGGGAATCAGAGAGGACTTGGGGTCAACTGCGAAGGGTGAATTTCACTTTTCGTTCTCAAATAGGTTTTCTGCTCTAGCGCAGTACTGAGCTACGTACAATTACCTTGGCTATCTGGGCTGCAGAACTGTGCGTGGAATTCACATATTATTTTCATTACAATAGTATTATTTATTAACCAAGTATCTCTAGTAACATTACAGTATATTTTCTTTCATAGTCAAGCTGACTCTCCTCCCCCAAACAAAAAGTCTACTACCCAAAATCATTTTGGAGTGGATTCTTTTCTGATTTAAAAATGTAATTCCTAAAACAGTTTCAAATCACTGTCTTAATAGAGGAGTTTTAAGGGCTTTTTTCTTTCTTTTAAATTTCTGGGGATATTCCTCTCTACTATCCAAATTTCACTAGCTCTTAGAATAGGATTATTTGCTGAAGAATGAACACCTGCTGCACCTTTTTTCATTAAGGGATGTGAAGTTCTTACACATTTAACTACTATTTAAAAGATATAAAAAGCAGGCAGGCAGCCCCCTGGGAAGGGAGTCTTTTTCTTTTCATCAAGACCCCCATCATGGACCTTGCAACATCCACTCAAGCATTTACAATTCAGTTGGGTCACCAAAGCAGAACTGTGCATAGATTTGTACCACCCTCTTTCAACTGGATCCTACCCATCCTATAGGACCCCATAGTTGAGAAAACGAAAACGGATTTCCTTTACCTTCTGAATGTATACTTATATCCACAGCTAAGTGAGGGTATGTGTTATTTCCCCTGCTCCTATACCCTCAGAAGAAGTCTTGTATTACCTTTTAAAAGATCCACAAAATAAATACTTTTCTTGCTCCCCACCCTCCATTATTGCCAAATAATAATTATAATATTAATAATAAACCACAGAGTTCTTAGAAGGGTACAGAAAGAAAAGAGAAAAGGTTCTGGTTGCAGTTGTTGGGGAAAAAGAAAACAATATTAAAAACAAAAAACCAGAATCACTGTACTTTCTATAAATAAGTGGGTCCTGGGAGTGAGGCAGGCGGCAGGCGCCCATTATTTGCACACGAACTGGTCCACAATCTCTGTGCACTTCTTGCACTTGACGTAGCAGCACCAGTGGAACTTGCAGTGGCAGCGTTCTGTCTGTACGGTTTTGAACTGGTCATAGCCGCGGCCACAGCACATGAGCTCACAGCCGTCCATGCCCTCAGAAGTCTTGTTACACAGACGGCCCTGAGTGCCCAGCGAGCCAGTGCTCTCATTACGAACGCAGTAGTCGGGGCTGGGGTCGATGTAGACCAGGTCCTGCGTGGTAGGCGAGTTGAAGCGGCTGTTGACCTGTACCAACTTGCCCCGGCTGTTGAGCCGCATGGCCGCAGCACTGTCATACTTCTCCTTTAGGGCATCACCCACCTTGCGGAAGTCTGCCAGCTGTAGCCAGCACGTCTTGAGGCTGCAGGAGCCAGATACCCCGTGACATTTGCAGGCCACATCGGCCAGGTTGTACACCGTCTGCGGGGAGACAGGGGGACAGTCAGTGTGGTGTAAATCCACGGGGGTGGGGGGAAGCAGGCCATACAAACAAAGCTCTCCTTGGCCTAGGTTCACAGCTAAATTGCCAGTAAATCAATTGCCATCAAGTCAATTCCAACTCATAGCAACCCCAGGTGACAGCGTTGGGCTGCACGCCTTAAAGTTTTCAATGGCGTTTTTGGAAGTGATTTGCCAGGCCTTTCTTCTGAGATGCTTTTAGATTGATTCGAACCTACAACCTTCTGCTTAGCAGCCAAGTGTATTTGCACCACCCAGGGACTCCAAAATCAGGGATTTATTTCTTCCTCATTCTCCACTAGCAGAAGTCTTCTGCTGCCTTCTTTAAAAGACTTGATCTGTTCTGTAAACCTTCACTCAATTTACAAGAAAAAAAGTTAAAAAAAGAATGTGTTCTTCATTCCAACTAGCCCATCACCACAATAATTAAAAATAACTACATAGAGTTCTGGAGTGGGAACTCAATGATCCCAGATGCTTTTTTGTGAGCAGAAACAAAATATTAACAGCAATGCATACATCTTGAATACTCGCCCCAGTGGCTAGTCACAGTGTTTCACATACATTGGCTGGATTCATCCCTACAACCAGCCTAGAAGAGAACCGCTATTATTATGCCCATTTCAAAGAGGAGGAAAATGAGGCCAGAGATGTGCGTTACTCACCTAACCTCAGGGAAGTAGCGGTGTCACAGGATTTGAACCCTGGGAGTTGGAATCCAAGCTCATGCTCAGTGACTTGCCCAAGGGCATTTAGTTGGTAACGAGTGGGACTGAGAGGGAGTATAGCACAGGTGGGACCGCGGTTCAAATCTTCCCTTAAAATTAGTAGTATTGCTGTATGGCAGGTATAATCATATGACTTTTATGCTTTTTCTCTCCTTTAATAATCCCAGTAACATTATATCACAGGCTGGGTTACAAATGATGACATAGAGATGCACAGTGGCCTGAACAGGTCACACAGCTCGAAGAGGTGTGGCGGGTGGCTGACCTGGACCTCATTCTAGTTTTCCTCACAGTCCCTCACTGCTTAAGCCAAGAACACCCACTGTGGAGTCAGGTAGACTGAGGCTCTATGCCTGATTCTGCCCCTGAATTCACGCAACTGGCTTTACCTTTCTGAGTACCTCTGTCTCTCTTTGGAGGGGAACTTGATAGTACCAATCTATTAGCTGCAATGATAAAGAACTGGGGGATGCATGGAAAACGTTTGGAACAAAGATAGACTTAATAAAAGACATCAGTTTTCCCAAAGGAGTCCTGGTGGCACATGGTTAAATGCTCAGCTGCTAACTGAAAGATCAGTGGTTCAAACCTACCAGGTGCTCTGAGATAGAAAAATGCCACAGCCCTCCTTCCCTAAAGATGACAGCCTTGGAAAACCTTTGGAGCAGCTCTACTTTGTCCCGAAGTGTTGTGATGAGTTGGAATCAACTTGAGGGTGATAATGGAGTTGGTTTGGGTTTTAGTCTTTCCTAGGGTGCCTAGGACACATCATCCTTATCCAGAGTTCCTTGCCTGGTTTTCTCAGACTTCCCATGAGCAGCATCCATGGCTGGCCCCAGAGCACTGTGCCTAGCAGTTTATGTATTTGTAGCTTTAACTTTTCTGAGCTCCTCATGCTAGTGACGTTCTGTAATAGAATCAGTGTGCTGTTGGCATGCTGGAGAGAACCCATGAGGAACATGGAGGCTGGGTGCATTACAGACCACTTCTACCCAGAACAGCTACTTTCTTCCTTCCACCCAAGGATTCACAGGGCCTTTCTTATAAGAGGAGCCAAAGTGTAGTCTCTTTAGCATAAAGAGTTTCAGGCACTCAACTAGTCTAAGGAAAGGTTTTCTAAATGTATTTAACCTTTGCTCTCACATGAGAAAGATAAAAAGGTAAAGCCCTAAGGAGATTTTAATATGATTTCCTAGCATGATGTGTGACTGCCCTCTCCTCTCCTCCACTCATATTGTTCTGGATAAAAACCTACTTCCTATGCAAACTCACCCCCTAGGATCCAAGCTAATTCACTGATCCATTTGTAAAACTAACTGTCTGTACAAGGGGGCTTGAAAATGTTTGCAGAAAAATTCCATTATCTTTTCATTCCATTTTCTCATGAACTTTATGAAGCCCCCTCATGTATGTATGGACTCCTGGTGTGGCACTGCAGGATCATCATTGGACTTCAAACCACAAGATCAGCAGTTCAAACCCAGAAGCTGCTCCTCAGAAACCCTATAAAACGTCGCTCTGAATTGGAACTGATTCGACAACACTTAACAACAACAATAATATAAATATTTGGGGGCCATGGTGGCTCCATAACATAAGCGATGGACTGTGAACCACAAGGTTCACAGTTTGAGCCCACAAGCTGCTCTGTGGGCAAAAGATAAGGCTTTTTGCTCCCATAAAGGTTTTTTATAAAGCCTCAGAAACCCTGTACAGGGTTGCTGTTAAGTCAGAATCAACTCAATGGCACTTAACTACAACAACAATATAAGGACTTTTAAAATGCAGATATTAAATGAAATTATAACAGTAAAGATGGTTTTCAAACCCTCCCAAATTCCTCTTGCCACTTGGGAATCCTTTTATCCTCTTTCCTTGATAGCCATTGCCTGCAATAATTTCTCTACATGCGAGAAGTCAACTCCCGAAGGTGAACAGGATGGCAGAGGTACAAGAGAGCCAGCCCCCAACTCTGCTCTGGAGACACTTCTGATCCTTGGTAATGGGCATTTCTCCAGTACAGGTAGAGCAATGTGTCTCTGGTGAGGATGAGAGCAAGTTCTTATGGGAAGAGTCGGGCTGACAACCCTCCGATGGAACCTCAGTAGGTAAGAGGCCAGCCACACTGCAGGTATGGGGACAGTGAGAAGCCCAGGAAAGGGGAAACTACACCCCTCTGGGTCTGTCGATGATCACAGTAGGGGAATGAGCAATGAGCTGACCCCTCAGAGCAGTACTGGCAAAAATCTGCTGCTTTGACCTCTCCAACAACATCCCCAGCTGTTTAACATCAAGTTTGAGAAGAAGCTACATTAGCAAGTTACCTAGCTCATCTGACACTTCTTCATACACTTTGTTTCATAATGTTTAATATTTCAGTTTTCATTTATCAAGTACTTACAACTGGCTGCCACTAAACTACTGGCTGATCTTAGATTGAACTTTATAAAATTGCTATCACGTAGGTCAAAGACAGTCAGAGACTGACAATTTCATCTAATGATTCCGTCTAATCCTCACCATAACTCTGAACAGTTGTTACTGCTACTTAAACAGATGAGAAAACTGAGGTTCCGATATGGAAAGGAAAAGACATAGCTAGATTTTGAACTAATGCTCCTCAACCCCCTACAATAAATTAAAAAATAAAATCAATAAAATCATAGCATCCCTGTATAGGGTTTCAGAGGCTGCAAATCTTTGCAGGAGAAGAAAGCCTTATCTTTCTCCCTTGACATTTAAACCTAGATCTAATTGGAAAGACCACGCTCCTTGACTCCTCACCATCTGTCTTCCCTGTGATGGGTAAGTTGCATTTTTTAAAGAGTAACATAGTCTTTTATCTAAATCGACTCATTTTCGTCCATGGCCATGACCTGGTTCTCTAGTCCTCAGTTTCCCAATCTTTAAAATGAGGTATGGGGCCAGAGGTTCCTTCCAGTTCTCTGTTTCACTCTGTGATTATCTTCCCCTTTCCTTGCCCCAAAATACTGAAGAGTGAAGACTTCAACCAGAAAGTTCCTGGCACCTACCTTGGGTTCCCTGAAAAAATAATGGCCCTGGTTTTTGATGCGGCCAAAGTTAAGAAAAGCCTTCACCCCCTTCATTTTAAAGCAGCCATAAAGTGCCATGTGCTTAACCACAGGGAAAAAAAGTGGGTGTTTTTAACTATTGTGGAGAAGTTTTTCATAGCCCCACCAGGGAAGGAAAGAGCTGGAACCCCAGGAGACTCATGGGGGGTGGGGGTGGGGGTGTAGTTTTGTCCTCTCCAGGGTCACTCTACAATAGATCTTCAGGTCAGATCTATAAAATTCCACACTGCTAAAAATGTGGGAATTTTTCCCAGAAAGGTCCTTTAAAAAAATTTCTCAGGCCCTTAGGTCAATGATATTAAGACTTAAAGAGGTACAAGGAAGGAAAAAAAGGAGGGTTTGAAAAAGTCAGATCTGAAAGCCTGGGTGAGGGCTTTCTCATTTGGGCACCTCCTGGGATAATTAACTCCCTTTCAGGGAATTAAACCCCATGGTGTAAGTGTTCCCTGCAGAAGGGAGAAGGTTATTAACATTTTTAGTTCTGATTTTGCTGCTCATTTGCACTGAGGACTAATTTAAAAGGCAGGGGAAGATCTCCCTTCTCAGGCAACTGCTGGGGCACTTCGGTGGGAGGGAGCCAAGGTGGGTGTGGCCCCTCCTGGGAGACCTATGGATGGATGAGACAATGTTCAAAGAGGAAAGAAAGGAACGAGAGACAGGACAGATGGAAGGGAAGGAGAGTGAGGGAAAGAGAAACCGGGCACCCAGGGAAAAACACAAAAAGGAAAAAGCCACTGAAAGAAGGGGAGGGGGAGAGCGAGACAGAGGGATGGGGCGGTAGGGGGCGCCAGGATTGAAAGACCAAGAGTGACACGGGTGGTTGGGAGGCCAGAGAGCAGGCATCCAGAAGGAGGGGTAGAAAAAGTGTGGGGACACTCACCCTACGGCCAGCCTCGTTGTTGTGCAAGTTCATGAGGATGCGGGCACTCTCGTAGGAGCCTTTGGCGTGGATGCGCTCCCGCTCCCGAGCATCCACGAACTCCTTGGCAAAGCGGTAACCATAATCAATGTTGTCACCGCAGCCGCCCCACAGCCAGTCCCTCGGTAGGTCCTTGGGGCGCGCAGCCCGGCTGCAGCCACAGGTGGACAGCTCGCCTTCACGGCACGCTCGGCTCATGGCGTTCACCACCCCAGCGGCGCTTACAGCGTAGGTGAAGGCCGTCTCCCGGCTGCCTGCAGGAGGAGGCAGAGTCACCAGGGGGCACCTGACCACAAGCCAACCCTAGGCCCTCTTGGATAGGCCTATGACACACACTTCTGGACCCCCCCTGCGGGGCTTAGGAGAAAGGGGAGACAGAACCCCAACACATAGCATCCCAGAAACCCTCCTGGGGGGTGGGGGGGTGGTAAGTAGGGGCAGGAAAGAACTCTAATGCACCCAGTCCCTGAAGGGGAAAACCCCTACACAAATACTTCCCCATGGATCTCCTTAGGGGAAACAAAGAGTGACTACCCACCTCCCCAACACACATCCAGACCCACCTGGACAAGAAGCAAAAAGAGACCCCAAAACTCACAGAAGCAACAAATAAAGGTGTTGCAGATATCTCTGCCCTGCCATTTAGGAGTCTAAGGCTGGATTCTAAATAGTCTGACATTGGTTTTCTCTCTCCCTCAAACTCTTGAAAACATTTCAAACTTTCTATTCCAAATAATGTCCAAGAAAGGAGTCTTAGAGGGGACAGCTGAGAATTTGTGTGACTTTCCTTACACTTATTTTATTGTTGGGAGTTTTGAATTACATATAGAGAGAGGACCACAGAATTTGCTAAACCTAGAACCTCTCAAAGTCTTAGGATTCCAGATCTCAGCCAGATACTGGTCACCAGCAGCCACATGAGTTTGACCCACACCAGTCTGAGCTTTGCCTCCCAGTCTCCTCTGGCAATTGTCCTCTCCAAGAGGACACTTCTACAGGGGATCCTAAAGAGAGAATTCGAAATGAAACTTGCCTTTTTTTAAATCCCAAGCTGATTGGCCTCATACTTGTCATTCAAAAATAAGAGCATGCCTACTTTTTAAACAGTCTGTTGCTCTTTAATGCACTTCTGCAATCCCTGACAGCCTTTGCCTCAAGTATAAGAATGACAGCAAGAAGGAAAAAAGCACAACCTAAAGGGAAAAAAAAAAAAAAAAAGTTTTCTCCTTCCCTAAAACTTGAAAGTGGCGCTGCGGGTTAATGCGCTACACTGCAAAGACGTTTGAACTGTAAGGTTGGAGGTTCAAGCTCACCAGCTTCTCCTCGGAAACCTTATACAGGGTTGCTATGGGTGGGAACTGATTCAATGGCATGTAACAACAACAACAGCAACAAAACTTGAAAAGAATATCGCTCTGTAAAGCAGTTATATGAGCCTTATTTTGAAGAAGAAGAAAATGGAGGCAAGCATAGACTACCTTAAATGTGGGAACATTTCTACATGTAACAAGAAGCCAAAGCTGGGCTTAGGGGTAGTAGAGTGAGAGACTTCCACTTTCCTCCTCTGTAAAATAAGAGTCTTGAACCGCAGACCTGGGAAGAAAAGGCACCTTCTGGCGCTGAAGTCCCTGTGCCAGAATCTATTTTTCCTACTCTTATTTCAAGAGCTTGGGAACAATTCTGTTTGGAGGGAAAGAGCAAGGGGGAAGGAGACAGCAGCCTATGGACTCAGCCCTAACAGGAGGGTTACTCTGCTGGAGGATGGAAATAGCAGCCAGCCCAGGATGCAGCAGGCTGTCTGTTCTCCAACTTCTATTCCACACCTCAGTCTACAGACATTTGTGAGCCCTGCTTCCAGGAATGGCCATGGTTCCCATTCACCACAGAGCCATCCTCTCATATTTTAAAAATGAATAACTTGAGAAGTGTGCTGGTGGTTGGTAAGAGGATCCAGAAAGTTCCTGTGGGGTGTTACATCTATCTAGCTTAAATTAGAGAGGCAAAGAACTTTGGGGGAGTGGAAAGAAATGAGGAAAGAAGATAGATTCTTGGGAGTTATTTGAGGATTAACACTGATAATACAGAAAATGTTGTGGTCCTGGCTGGGAGTCTTGCAAAACGAAGAGCTTGTAGCTAGAGGATGAGGAAGAGATAAAGCTATCCTCTGGGAATAGAGGAAAATAAGACACTGCCCTTTAAGTATACAAGCATAAAGGGGCTTTTATACAATACACAATAAATTGCTTTTTTCATAAGTCTATCTTGAACATTTTCTTTTTTTGACCAGAATATAAACCAAGTAGAAGTCTCTGAGCTAATGGCTATGGCAAGGAAGATGTCAGTTTCAAAAGTACTCTTGGAGGAATAGCCAGTGTGTACAGTCATTCTGGTTGGAATCGCTCTAATTCAGTTAGTTTTCCCTTGGTGTAAATCTTCATCTACTTGGGTCCTCACACCCCTTAAAAAATGGTGCCTTTCTTACATATCTTTTCACAGGGTGGAAACAAAGAGGAGACGGGACAAAAGCTGGAAGGAAAGGGTAGCATGATGAAAAATGAGAAAGTTTCCAGAATGAAGACTGAGCGGGCCCTTCATGCAGCAATTGTGCACGGTGCCTTCGAGGCAATGAGCACCTTAGAAAAATGAGTTGAGGAGGGGTGGAAGGCATCAGCCTGAGTTTCTCAGGCACTGGCCCCTTACAGAGTCAGAGAGCTTCACAGACAATAATTACTCTCAATGTCCCTGGTGAACACATACCCTTTTGGTGGGCACATACACAACTTTCAGCATCAAAAAGCTTTAACATTTATTTCCCTTCCATCATGCTTCTTAAACATACCCATAAAGTTGAAAAGTAAAGGTGACTACTGGGACTAGGTCTGTGGCTCTCTTTCATAAAGATCTAGTCTGGTTTTTCTTCTACCACATTTTTTAAATAAAGAGAGAAGATCCATGTGTGTCCTACCCCCAGGCACCAAGCAGCAGCTTTCAACTCGGAAACACCAAGGTCTTGGGGAACCCTTGGCTAGGAGGATGTGGCATGTGCTCTCATCTTCCCAAGACATCAGATGACTTGATGATAGGATCTGGGAGCCACCTACTTCTCATGAACCCAGACAGTAGTACCACACAGCTGAGACTGGAGAGGGTACTTGCAAGGGATGATTAAACTTAGGTTTTTGCACCAAGAGTTATGCTTGCTCACTGAGGAAGCAGGCTCTTTGAATCTTGGACCGCACTTTAAATAAATCTCCAGCAGAACTCAAATTCACTTAGTAAATGATAGCTTATTCGGAACATTTTGGCCCCAAAAAGGCTACGTAGGAAGACGAGAAGGGGATCTTAAATCAAAGCTGTGTTCAAGTGGCTGTACACAAAAACAGCTCCAATTGCTGTTTTCCTTCATGGTTACCATCAGAGGTATGATTTTTGCTAACTCATATATATGTGAAAAAGGATGTACCAAAGTTGGAGAGTAAAAGCTATTTTGACGCATAAGGCAGAGATGAAGGGGAGAAAGTTGACAACTGACCACTCTGGTACAACTTAAAAATGCTTTTAGCTCACTCACAATATGAAAATGCAAGAAGATTAAATCTCTACCACTCCCCACCCCAGTTAACTCCATATGAGGGCCCATATTCAGGGGAAACTCCTGTGTTTCTGAAATTTAACTTCTAGATTCAGATCCCCCTAGTATATACATTAGCACATTTTAATCATTAACAGAAAGGACAAAGCCCTATGAAACCTCACAGGCTGAGGCTGCGGACCATTTTCCCATTCAATTAGAGAAACGGCTTCCAGTCCTGTATTATTTTAGTTTATGAAGTCGCTTGGCTCAGACATCCTCTGACAACTCTTTTTTGTTCTCAATGAATGCACTTTTCAGGTTTCTTAAAAAAGCATTTTATCCATTCGTGATGGATATTGAGCCAACTTTTTATCTGTAGTCATTATAAACAGTTAATTGCTTTGATAAATGGCTTCTTATTTTAGAAGTCATAGCAGTCATATTAATTATAAAGGCTTGTTTGCATAAAAGTAAAGAAACCTAAAATATTCACACTGGAAAATACGGATAGGACCACATCTATCAAACTGTTTAGTAGCCTATCCTATTAAACCAGACCAGAAGCAGACTGATTTTTCAAAATTGTTGCTTTGATCCCAGTTTTGATGCTATCATATCCCTGAAACAAATAACAAGTTCAAAACATATTTAAAATCAAGAATCGAACTAGGAGCCGATACCTTTGAAAATATTTATAAATTTCCAGGTTGAGATCCTTCCTATATTCTTTTGTACAAACTGCCAAAATCAGAAGTGTCAACTAGACAGCTCCTATCTAAAATGACTTCTGGAATGAAATATAAAGCTTTTAACATATGTATTTCAAAATGTCTAAATTAGGGAAATTGAAATCTTCTATAAATGAAATACAAAACATGCTGAAAGATGACAAATTTTAGCTTGATTGTGGCTTTAAGAAACTTCAGCAAGTACAGAGTTTTGAAGTTTAAAAAGTGTAAATGACTCAGCTGCTTTTGAGACACGGAAATAAGTGTGCGGCTTCTATTTTAAACAAAATACATTTTACAAAAAATTAAGTGTTCAGAAAAACTAAGGTGTCTGTGATCCAGCTCCCTTGATTTTTTAAAAGAGGACCAAACTTAGAATCAAGTGTGGGGACCAGAATTAACATTAGTAATAATAGGGACAAAATCCCCCAAACCCATGCTCAAGGTGCCTACGACATCAAGTATGTTAGTAAGCACTAGAGAATTTTTCTAGGAGAAAAGTATATTGATATATTTCATGTACATGTATATATACATACACATATATATTCATGAACATATACATAAACCAATGGACATATATATACATATATATTCATGAACATATATAGATACATGGTGTCCATGTATACACACATACATACATCCATGTATTTTTAATGTTAAATGGTTTCCTACCTATCTGCATAACCCTTCCAAACACAGAGGTGTTATCCACGGTGCTGCAGTTCCATCTTCGATGCCGGAATTGATATTGGCATTCTTTGATGCCTGTCTTTGCGCCTTCTCCGATGTACTGCATGTGGTCCTGATACAAGTGGCACAGTTTCTTCTGTCCTTGAGAAAGTCCTGCTAGTTGGCTGCAGAGGGGCTGTGCGCCTATGATATATACTTCAGACATCTGAACAGGGTTATTCATACCTAGCGACCTGAAAAGGGGGGGAGATATGCATTCAAGATTTACGTGAACTCTTGAGGTAGGCCCCTGTATGCATGTCAGCAATACTTGGTTGTAAGCACACAGATGCTTTTTCTCTCTTGCTTGTCCTCATGACAAAGTATGAGGAAGGCTTCATAAAACTCCTCTGTTTAAACTCCACTTAGAAAACGGAGGTATTGTGCAGGCCCCATCCCACCATCTGGCTCCTTGGTTAGTTTTCACTCCCTTTCTTGCCCCTGTTGCCATGTACTTGAACCAATATTTCCAAAATCTACTCAAAACAAGGGGAATGGCAGTTTCAAGGACGGGTCTGTGGCATTAGAGAAAGTGACTCATTTTGCCCCAAAAATTGGACTGCTCTGCCTTGAAGACATACAAATACCCAAACTAGACACAATCAAACACAGGAACAAGAAAACAGTTGCTTTTGACTGATGGAAGGACAAAAGTACACACAAGGCTGAAGAAAAGTTACCATTTTCTGGACATTTTAAAAGGACTCCTTATGTGATTATAAAGGACCCAAAACAGGGGATCCAGTGAACAGAAGGCATGTTTGACAATGTGGAAAAAAAAAAAAAAAAATGCTGTTCCTTTACAGAGCAAAAATATCCAGAACACCATCAAAAACAATCCTAGGGACATGTAACAGTCAATCTAGAAAGCCCACAGCAAAAAGAAACTCTCATTTAGGGACATGTGCCTACTTCAAGTTAACCTTCCTTTGATCAAATTTCAAGTCCAAATACTTTCCCACTAGGAGTTTAGCTGTTTTCCTAGTCTCTGCCTACTTCAGACCCTGCAGATTAATAACCTCAAGTGACAGAAAATAAAAATTGAAAATCACTTTTACTACCCAGAGGCGGTGAAAAGTAAATTTTATAGATAGGTTTACAATTATTAGAGAAGTGAACTTGTTCTCTTTTATTATATGATGTACAACTAGAACACATCTGAACAAGGGCCTCTTAGAAAAAGGCCTAGATTTAAATATTTCTATTCCCTGTGGAGCTGAAGATAAGTACTACAATATGAATAAATTGAAAGAAAATTCATATATATGTCTATGGAGATAAAATATGATAAATACACCCTGAACTCAACTATTGTGCTTCAAAACACAAACTGCAGCATAACACAAATGAAACATTAAAAACACACACACACACACAAACCCATGCACATAGAGTGAACTTACCACCAAGAATTGGCTTCTATTACAACCTGGGCGACAGAGAAAAATATGGCCAAAGCCATTAGAAAGAACTTGGAAGACATTGCAAAGCCAGCCATTCCCAAAGCAACTCCGGGGCTTAATATTCCAATCGACTTCTGGAGAGGGAAGAAAGGAGCAGATGTTTATTGCCTCTCAGATAATTTTCAAGTATACAAGTTTAAACAACGGAAGCATCCGGGTCTCTTAAGTTTACTGTTGATTGACTGCGCTTCTCCTCCGTGAGTTTTTTGATGGCAAGATATAGGCAGTTTCTTTTTCCAAATTAATCCACCCACGCAACCTCACCAGGAAATCTGATTTCGCTGGGATCCTGCGCGCCGGGCACGCTAGCGATTACAAACATGTCTCAATGCTGTTGAGTCAAAGCCTCGGTGCCAGGCACTGCCTCCTTCCTGCTTGTTTGCGTCCCGCACCCCCTCGCTCCCCTCTAGTTCACGTTGCACTTGGTTCCTCCTCAGCAATTCACTCGGGAACTCGCAGCCACCCTCGTCCTCTCCCCGACCTGGGCCGAGCAACAAGTGGAGCCGGAATTAATTCCATAGGCAAGACGAGCGCAGAAGGCGAGAGAAGCGCGCCGGCGGCTGCGGAGGAGGCGGGGTGGCCGGCGCGGGTGGGGGTTGGGGGCAGGACGCGGGAGGGAAGGGCAGGAGGTGGGGGGCGAGGCCCAGGGGACCCGCAAGCAAGAGAGCCCAGCTGGGAAATGCAGCTCCGAATTAACATCGTATGTTTCATAATCAGTTACGGGCCGATTTGGGGGAAGCCACTTCCAGATGGAGAAAGACAATCCCGGTTTCCTTTAGGACACTCTCCAGTCAGATCGGGGCGGGGAGTAGAAGATGGGGGGCACAGGGGATACTGAGACGTTGACTCTCCCAACAAAAGAAACAGGAAAAGTGTCCCCTCCCCTTCCTGAGGTCTCCGGTTGGGTATACGCTAAGGAAAGAATGGCATCGCTGAGAAGACAAGAGGTCTAGGTCCCGCTATCCTAGAAGAGGAGAGGACCCCTTCCCTGACCCCAACCAATACACACACCTCGAAACGCTTGTTTCTGCTCTCTCCCCACTGCACCCCATGACCGGCAGCGAGCGACAAGGGAACTTCAATTTCTCTTGGTCCTAGACTGGGACTTTGCCATCACAGCTCCGTGAATCTGACCCTGGGAAACTGCCAGTCTGCCCTTCATTCAAGATTCTCCAACCCTTACACAGACCCCGTTGGGCCTGTCTCGAAAGATGGGGTGCAGTGCGAGGCCAAAGAGGGTGCTGCTGAGTTCCCTAATAGCCAGCATTGAGCAAGCGCACGAGCTGCGGCTGAGTCTCTGAAGTCGAGAGCGCAAAAGGCCCTGACAGCGAACGATTGAACCAAGAAGAATTATGGGGGTAGAAGGTTGCCTTCGAAGATTCCACCGTCATTCCTCCCCACTGGTGACTTCACCTGTAGGCGGTCGGGGAGCGAGGCAACAAGCGAGCGCGGGTGGGAGGAGCGGGGGTTCCAAAATCCTCTTTAACATTTCGAATGAGTGAAACTCAGCTACAGTGCGCCGCCCGCAGTTCTGAAGGGAGCCCCTTTCTCAGCAAAGGAAAGGTAAGCCTCCTCCAGGCGACTAGCGGAAGGGCCCGGCCTGGAACCTGCATGGTGGAACGGATATAAGGACTAAGGCGGCATGGAAACACCAAGGGGTTCAGGAGCACGCTACGGTTTTTCTCTGCGAGCCTCAGTTCACAGATTCCTGTGGCCTGGACACCTCGGGACTTCACGAAGAGGGAACGTTTATGTGGTCCCCAGAGCGTGCTAACCAGAGCTGTGCTCCGGAGGCCCAGTCGTTTCCAAAATGCCGCAAAGCGAGGAACTCATCCCGGGAGAATAGAAACCTGGGGTTTCCCCACTTTCGGAGAGCTAAAGCACTATCTCCCTCCCAACCCCCGCCCGAAGTGTCAAGTTTCCTTCCCTGAAGGGGGTGGGCTGCTAGGCCCAGACTGCAAAGTCGATTCTCCCCAAAGGCGACCGAGGCCGCGCGGACGCATACACCACGCGGACGCATACACCGTCATACACACTTACACTCACGCATATCCACACACTCACACGCGTGCACACACACGCCCCGCTGTGCTGGCCGAGTCGGCGGGCCGGAAGGCTGCGGGCCGTGCGCACTTTTCCAGTTTCCCAACAGGCGGGGCGTGCGGGGCGGGGCGCGGGCAGCGGAGAAATTGATAACAGATTCCGTGGATTACAGCGGATCTCTTTGTTAGAGGCGAAGCCACACTAACCGAACCCACTCCTAGTCCAACGTTCCCAAAGAAAGTCCACCAGTTCCCAGAGCAGAGCCAAGTGGGAGAAGGAGCGTCCGGTCTCTGCGACTTGGAGTCAGCCCTGCTCTAGATTGGGAACAAACAGAGGGGTCCAAAGGAGATTGGACAGAATCTATAACATCTCCGCATCGCGACTTAACCCCAAGCACGCTAGCCGGGAAACACCTTGGCCCTCTTCTGTCCCCAGTCTCCCATGCAACCCTCCCAAATGGCACTGCAAGGTTGGGAAATTAGAAGAACTCACTGTGAACTAATAAATTATAAACATCGACTCTGTAGGGGAAAACATCTCCGCATATTTACCAAGAGATCTATCTGATCCGAAATGAAATCTCTCTGGAAACCATCACACAGGCGGCAAAGCAATCGTTCTGGGCAGAAACTGTTTCCCAAATAACAGACTAAACAGTTTCTAAAACCTTGGGAGGCTGTGGAAACCGAAATTTGTTCCTAATGTAGGATGGGGATATTTGAGAGGTTCAAGCGCTGCAAAGGGGTGTGGAAGAGGGCGTTTGTGTCCCTTGTTCCCAATCCAAAAGAGCTTAATGTTTGGGGATCCTTATTCTGTCCTCCACTCGATTATTGATGTCCCTAATTAACAGAATGGTACGCCAGAAGACTTGGGTGGGGGGCTGAGAGCACGAAGATAAGCACAGACCCGAGCTACAACTTGTCTTCAGATAAGTAGTCTCTAAAGGAAATGATGCAAAGGACAGATAAAGGTCCACCATCAGTCAGCTACTGGTTTTTACCTTCTCTTTGAGCATTCTATGCCCCTCGCGCTAAGCGCTCTGGGCTTCCCAAGTCTAGGGAATTGTAGTAAGATGAAGGCAGCCAACTAGAAGAAATGAGTTTGACCTGGGTTCCTGGTGGTGAATGGGAGGATGAGAAACTTCAGGAAGAATCTTGCTTTTGGAGGAAAGGAAATTGGTTTCCCCATTTTAATTTACCTTAAAGCAAGCAAAGGTTTGTTGCAGTTACAAATTCATGATGGTTTTTATGTTCCCACCTCAGAAACTCTATACTGGATCAGAACCGACTCCTAGGCAATTAACAACAACCCTGAGAAATGCCGACTAGTAGGGGGGCAAAGAGACTTTTGAACTCGGCCTAGGCCAGCAGGAGGTGGGTTGGCTTTGGGGAAGCAGAGAAAAAGAGCTGGCATTCCCAGCACCTTTCACCTGGGTGCAGGGGATCTACAACTTCCCGAAGCCTCTGAGATGTGTCCTAGAAACGGGGTTGGCGGGGAGGATAGGGTTTCCAAAGAGAGAGGCGGAAGGAGCTCTAGGAGCTCCGGAGTTGTGGGTAGTCTCTGACCCCCTAACTCAAGTCTGATGGTAGATCCGACAACCGGAAGGTTCCAGGGAAAGAATGGCCAGATTTGCTTCAGCTCCCCTTGACAAAACTCGTGAGATCCAGTGGAATCTTCTCACTCCCTCCTTATCTCTTAAATCACCTAACACAGACAGAATGCTTATTCTCCACACAGGCTCAACTCTATTCAGAGGGAGAGCAGAGAGTAGGAGGATGGAGAAAGAAAAATTTAAAGAGCACTTCAATCCCCACTTTCTAACAGATGTAGAAACTAAGGCCAAGGGAGGGAAAGTAATGCTTATGGTGACAGAGCCCAGTCAGACTCGAATCCTCCTGGGGAGAAGAGGTACCAACCCTCGGTCCAGTCGCCTAAACCACCGCCTCTTTTTCGTGGTGCAGCTTGTCCTCTGAGGGCCCAGTTGGGAGAGTGGGGCCTGGTAGTGGAGAGGTAGGAAGGAAGACAGAAGTGGGAGGGAGAGGGGAGCAGCTGCAGATCGCCCCAAGGAAAGGCGACTCGGAGGCGTCCTAGCTCAAGGCGTCCAACAGGGGGCAGCCGGCACCGCACAGCGGGGGAAAGAAAAAGCATCCTGAACCGATCCGAGTCCAGTGTTCAGGGTACAAACCCCTGCTGTACAAGGGAGCACCGATGAAGGGAGAGGAAGGCAAGTGACTTCCAGGTCGGATTTGGGGAGGGTCCTCCTTTGAGGAAGAAGGAGGTGGGTCTAATAAGCTAGTTTGTCCAAAAAAAAAAAAAAAAAACGGATTCTTTACACCCCTCCCCCGCAGGACAGGGCTCTTCATACGCCAGCATATACGCATTCATATTTGAGAGCCCTTCAGTCATCACTGCGCCTTCTCAGCATTACACCCAGAAAGAGACTATCTGGAAACCAAAGTTCCGCATCTAGCTGGTTCAACAGTCAATGTGCGAATGTGGGCAGGAAGGTGGGCTTTGAGGAGGTACGACCCTGTGGCAGGCAGGCCCGCAATTACTTCCAAACTGCGAGATACCCATTTAAAGAAAGAAAGACAAGAGAGAAAGGGGTCCGGATGCCAGACATGGATTGGAAAGTAAAATTGGGCCATGGAGTTTCCAGGTCTTTCTGTTTTGATTTTTTTCAAGGACGAGATGTTTGTTTTTAAGAAACATCTTAATCACAAGACAACCCTAACGTTACTCCCCAGGAAAATGAAGATGAGGGAGGTTAAGAAAACTGAAAACGCGAGTCAAGGATTGGAGGATAAAAAGGAAAATTTGTTTGAAAAATAGCAAGTTACAATGCAGGAAGAAAGGTTAACTTTTCGTAAAAGTGAACTCTCGGTGACCTCCGGTGTGTGACTCGGCTTTAACACACAACTGACAATTAAAACAAACACGAGTTCACAAACTGCCCCCATCCGTTCTCCCAAAGCAGAGGCCCAAATGTCTCCAAAGGACAAGGCAGACTGCTACGCAGGGGGCCGGGGTGCGCTCTCCAGGCGGACAGGATAAGAGTCACCACCATCACCCCCGCCCCCACCACCGCTGCAAAGTGCCGGAGATCACTCAGTGGCGGCTAATAATGCTAATAACGCGACCCAACTCTCTCCGCCGGGGTGCGCGCTGGCCCCTAGCCAGGCCCTCTTAAAGGCGCAGGGTCCTGCTCCGCTCCGGCTCCCGAGGCCCCGCAAGGAGGCTGCAATAAGGCCTGGGCTTAGGTGAAGGTGGGTGCTGCTTGGTCAGTCTGCTAGCTCTCGCTACAGAGAAGTTCCCTTCCCCTTTCAAAATCTGGGCCACACACGCTCTAGGTGCCCGCGCAGGGGACGCTCGGTAAATATTTGTTGAATTGAATCATTATCCAGTTACTGAAATATACATAGTGAATTACACTTGAGGTTCTCAGAATAAAAGGAAGCACATTCAGTCTTTTTCTGCTATCGCTCTTCCCCACTTTGTCTCAGGATGAATGTGCTCCAAGTTTGAAATGTTTGCAGATCGTTTGGTGGGACGGGAAAAGATCTCCCAGGACACAGAGGCAGTGCGTGCGGGGTGGAAGGTGAAAGAATAGGGATCTCTGCCAGCGACGCAAGAGTTCCAGCCATTCAAGACGGCCGGAGAAATGGAGGGACAGAAAGAGGTGAGGAAATTCAACTAACTTCCAAAAGGAAGGGGAAAAAAAGTATATATATATATAAAAGTTTAGAGCGTGGAAGGCGCACTGAACACCTACCTTCATGGCGAGGGGGAGGGGGCGCGGGGAGGAAGTCGCCACCCCAGCGAGGGCAGCCGAGGAATCCAAGCGGAGCAGCGGGGTTAAGCCTGGGGGGATGATCCCGCGCAGGGTTTAGGGCTCCTGCGGAGCACCTCGGGCGGGCGCAGAGAACTAAACTTGAAGTGGACACTGTCTCCCGGGCCTGGACGCCCGAGCTGGGGTAGCGCTGGGATGCACCCGAGAGCAGAGGAGGCGCCGACCTCCGCGGCCGGGCAGCAGGGGTAGGGCCGGGCCGAAGCGCCCAGAGCAAGCCGCGGGTCCGGTGAGGGCGCGCAGGCAACTGTTCCGCGGCGAGGCGCTCCCTCTCCAACGTCCATCAGCGACGGCGGTAATTAGGGCTTTCCAACCCAAATGTGGGCGTGATTGTGCAAAAGACTTTACAACAAATAATAAAAAAAATTTCTTCACAAGAGGGTGAAAAAAAATGACCCACTATTCCACTCTGGCCTGGGGCGGCTGCGGGGGAGGGGGGGTGGTGATCCGTGAGACCAGGTGCCCCCAGTTCATTCGCACCACGGATTCTGCAGACTCCCGGCTCGCGCCTCCCGATTTCCAGCTCCACCTCTCCCAGTCAGTTGCCGAAAAGTCTGCTTCCAGGCGCTGATCCTGTGGCCGCGAGTGTGTGTGGACGTCTGTGTACACACACAGACACACACCCAGACACACACCCCCACTGCAGCTTTGGGGCCACCGAACAATCAGGCGCGCAGGGTTTTTTCTCCGGGAGATGCCGCTGAAAACGCACAAGTCGCCATCCGAGCTGCAAGAGTCAGCGCCAAATTTTGTCCTTTCATTTTGGGGTTTGGAAAATAGGGGCGCAAAATGGGTGGCAGTCGCCCCCCGATGCTCTGCTGTGCGGTGGGTTCCGAGGGACGATGGGCGATTGCCCCAGGGGAGACGCTAGCTCCCCCCCCTCCACGCCCCCTTCTTTCTCTCTTCGGGTTAATCCCCCTCTTTTCCCCGCCTTTCTAGGGCGAAGAGGGATGAGGAGCGAGGGCACCGCGAGCGCTAGGCTGGGGAGGGGCGAGGGCTCGAGGCTCTGCTGCGGCGGCTCAGCTCCGGCGGTCCATGGCCGGCGCGACTGCCCACCTCCTCACTTGGCGCCCGGGCCCGAGGGGCGGGAGGGCGGCAGGCAGTCCCCGGCACCGCGGCGGCTGCAAGAGGCGCTCGCTCCGTAGCTGCCGCACAGAACCGGACTCCGGGCGGCGGAAGCGACGCCTTGGTGTTCGCAGCAAGCTTCCAGAGATCCTAAGTCCCACAGACAGACCGACAGCGAGGACCACGTTCCCCCCTACCCCACCCCCCACCCCAGCACTTCTAGCCAACTGCCGCACTCACTCCCTCCCTGTCTCCTGACTCCTCTTTCCCCTCGTGTTCTCAGAAAATGTTTTTTTGTTGTTTTTGTTTTTGTTTGTTTTTTTTAAGTTGCGGAACCAAAGGCGGCAGGAAAGAGAGAGCGAAGGGGGAAAGAAGAAGAAGAAGTAGAGAAAAAAAAAAAATCTGAACTTTGCCTATACGCATGCGTGCTCAGGCCGGCCTATGACAAACTCCGCAGAATTTTAAAGCCGTACAACCGGCTGGGGGTGCCGAGGGAAGGGGGCGGAGTACCTTCCCCCTTGGACCCTCTACTCTCGGTTCCCCATCCCCCAGGCATCTGCGGAGAAAAAGAAGTCACCTCCATAGCGGTTGCTGGTCTGCCGAGCCTGGGTCTGCGCCCTTTCCAAACTCGCCAACTCACAGAAGGCTGAACCCTTACTTTCCTGGCTGGACCGCTTGACTAGGCTGCTCCTAACTGCTCCCACTAGGACAGCACAGTCTAGGACGACTGCCTAGACGTGAACCTCGCGGGCAACTCATCATTCTTACCCCTGAAGGAAGGTCCCTGAGCCCCGGGGTAAAGGGGCTGGAGGTTGGAGTAAGGGTTTGGGTACTAGGGTGCGCAACTGCGCGGCCGGCTACGATCCAGCGCATCCGGAGCAACGCATGGTTCTGCTGTATGACTCTTGTCGATTGCCCTCAGGTGAGAAGCCTGGGAAGTCTGGCAAAATCGGGATGCCGGCTCTGGATCTTCCAGACTCCTCAGGCCAGATGAGTTGCAGTTGTTGGAAGCCCAGCAGGGCGGGTTTGGTGGTTGGTTGTGCGTGCGCCACCCATGAACACTGCCTCACACAGGAGAATAAGTCTTGTTTTAGTTTCTCCCCATCCCCCAGCCGTCTGACATGAAAGCCCCTCACGCCCACAAGATCAGTTTCCTCTGTCCATCTGGCACACACTTGACCTTAAGGCACAAAATCTGTGGCCTGGGTACTAAGGTCCCTGTTTCATTTTGGCCCCCATATCAGCCCCTCAGCTGGCCACCACAGGGTTCTAGGGGAGACGCGCCCTCGGCGCTGTTCCACCCGCCCTCCACTACCCCTTTCGGATTCTTACCTGTCTGGCAGGATCCAGTGGACCCCTTTACTGACTGAATCAAAATAGCATGTGGGTTTCCCTGAGTTGCAAGGGATGCCCCTGCTCTGTCTGGTCTCACTTCCTTTTGATATATGCTCCAGTTTGGATTTCCCCTTTAACTTCCCTCACCCTGGATAGGCCTTAACCACTTAGTGCCCTGTGGACATTTTAGTTTTCCAATCTAGCCCAAGATTAGCCCTTGGCAGTCTGAAAAGATGGGTCTCAGCCTTCTCCTTTCTCCTGCCCTGAGGCAACTAGATTCCACCCCCCTAGGGAATGCATATACCCCTGGGCCTGCTCTTGAGAATCCAACTGAAATTCCACCACTCTGAGAAGTGACAGGAAGGGAGTTCCCTGTGAATGGAGTTCCAAAGACTGCTGAAATCAGAATCATTTTGCCTTCTACAGCAAAGAAAGGAGCCAGTAACTGAAAATCCGCTTTACCCATACACCAAAAATCTTCTGTTTTAATTGTTATATTTGGAATTCTTTCAATAACTATCTATTTTCTTCAATTACTTTACTTATGTAAACCCAATCCCATCAGTTGTACAGGTATTTCCTGGAAGGTGGTGTTAGTTAGTGGTTAACAGTGTAGGCCCATTCTTACCCTTGAAAGAGGCTCCCTGCTAGTGTTCCAACCCCAGCTCCGCCATATTCCAACTATGAAAACTTGGACCAGTCATTTATTAGCCTCTCAGTACCGTATAATTCTCTTTTTAAATAGAGAAATAGGTGAGAATGAATCAGGGTGACCATGAATGTGCTTAGCATGGCGTCGGTATCTTTTCTCCTACAAAAAGCCAGCTTTGAAGACAGAGGTGTTCACAAGCTTTTGGCTGCAAACCTGAACCTGAAGTGGCAAGGACCTTGATTTTTCCAACTTGGGGTGAATGTTCATTCTTCTCATGGAAGGAACATTAATGTGTTGGCTTACTGGGTACTGCCCCCAGACCTCACTGGAGCTGTTGCAAATTAAATAGTCACGTGTCCTACTTTATCTTTTATGAAAATCCCCAAATTTCCCACTTGAAACCCATCTGGCCCTAAGGACTTTAGATACAGGACTGTGGACGTTTATCTGATTGTATTAATAGTGGTATATGAGATTATGCCCTGCTGTGTGTTAAGTGCCAGACTGCAAAGCCATTTGAACTGCCAGGTCGGTGGTTCAAGCTCACCAGCAGCTCCTTGGAAACCCTATAGAGGGTCTCTATGGGTCAGAACCGACTCGACAGCACTTAACAACAACAAAGAATACATTCAGCTCCCTGACTGCATGGATTCATCTGTATTCATTCATTCATTAGTAGGTCCTCAATAACTTTCGTTGAATGATTGACTAGATGGATAAAATGATTCTTTCCACAGGAACTGTTGAGGGGGGAACCAACTGGAAGTCTACTTTGAAATTTCAATCAGGGGGCAGGCTCTAAGGCCATCTGACTGCCAGCATTATTAACTGGTATGCTTTGGACATGAGTGGACAGTGGAGTGTGTGGAACCAATGGCTCCCCAATGACAACAGATTTTGTTGAGATCTCTACTCTGTAAAGCTCTAATTTTCCTCTTTGCAAATTCCGTGCATCAGGGTGCATGCACCCAGATTGAGTCATCTGAAGACATACTAGCAAGACATTGCCATGCTCTGCTCATTAAAAATGCTTCCAGTTCTATGGAACAAATCAATCAATACTTTTGTCCTGAAACAGAGTTATTTCACAAAGCAGAGTGCAAGATAAGGAATTTATGAACGATTGCATCCCTGTGCCGCCTTTCCCAGCAGGAGAAAGCAGGGCCCAGGTTGTCATTCTGGGAAAATCTACCCGTTTTTTATGCCTGGCAAATAATATTTTATGGCCCTGGGTTTATGGTGGTGTTTTAATGATCCGCTGTAGAAAGCAGTGTTTTCTCCAGTCACTAGAATTTGTCAAAAGGGCTGGAGGCCATAAAAGGGAGAAGGACCCCAGGGACAAACAGGCTCCATCTTCTGAAATAAACTAATAAAGAGCCCCAAGATGTTTACTCCTTTGCCTCAGAGTCAAGACCAGCCTGGCTGCCTGAGAGAGGCCCCCCAGGTCCAGCACTAAACAGGACAAAGAGGCCGGAAAGGGGGCGGGGCTTCCTCACCACCACCTGGCCACAGTCAAAGTAATACTGTCCATCATATTGTACCGCCACCAGCCACTGGCCTGTGGCAGACAGAGGCCCCCTCAGGCTTAAGGGTATTTAACTCTAGGCAGACTCAAAGAAGTGCCTTAAAAATCGCAAACTCTCCTCACACTTGGCCCCCTTAGATCCCTTGGACCCCACTGTTCTGAGCTGAGGCCAGCTCATGCCAACACCATTTGTTATGAGTAGAAGCACTCCACAGAGTTTCCTTGGCTGTGTGGCCAGAAACCAGAATGTACTCAATATCAACAATTGTCTTAATAAGAGCAGATCACTGGACTTTCCTTCATTCCTCAGTGCCACTGGGTGGGTTTGAACTGCCTACCTGCAGTTTAGTAGTTGTTCTTCTTAAGTGCTGTGAAGTTGGTTCCAACTCATAGCAACCCTGTCTAGCGTTTCTGAAGAGCAGCTAGTGGGTTTGAACTGCCGACCTCATGGTTTGTAGTCCAGTGCTGATCTTACAACGCCACACAGGTGTTAGTACAAACAATGTGTGCTATGTCCCGGGGACCTCCTTAACTTACAAGTCTTCTTTATTCTTAATAAACAATGAATGCTTTTTGGGGGGGGATGCCAGAATCAGACCTGAGTTTGAATCCCAGTTCTGCCTCTTTCTGGCTGAGTGACCCTACAGAAATCACTTGCCCTCTTGAGTTTCTAT